AGTCTAGATTTCCTCTGGCTCTGAAATCAAGAATTGTTCTGGGTTGCATTTGGATTTAAAAAAATTATTGTGAATATAAATATATTCTTAGATAACTTTATTTCTTTGCCTAATTGTCATTCTAGGTAAAACAACATTTTATGCTGCAATATAGATGCAGTGTGAAGATAGCTGCAGAAGCACCTCGCTGTTTTATATGAGCAATATGGAAGTTTTATAGCTTCTGTATGTGTTTATTACATTTTAATGACTGTAAAACCATCACAACTTGAAACCCATGGTGCTAGGGGATCTTAGTGGACAGAGGTTTATGGGGTGTTTTGATGGGATTCTGACTGTGGAGATGAAAGAGGTGTTGATGTGGGAAGGGCAGGGGGAGTGTCAGATGCAGAAGCAGGACCTGGGTAGTTGAGGTCAGCAGGGACAGAGCTTACTCCATCTGCCCGTCCCTCCCTCCTCTTGTGCTGAGGCTTTCCTCCACTCTAAGCTGTGAGTGTGTCATCCTCATCTGAGACCAGAGACTATATAATAGATCTATTATATGGTCTCTGCTGAGACCAGGGTGCTGAAACAGATGCTGAAGCAGGACCAGTAGTCTGTCTCACAGTCCCTGAACCACATTATTTTCCCTACTCCCAAGCCCTCCCTGCAATGCTAAAGCCCTAAATAAAGCAAGTCTGGATTTCCTCAGGTTCTGAATCTCTGGTCTCCATGGGCTCCTTTTCAATATAAATGGGTTTATCTGTTACTATCAAAATTATATATATTCAGAGACTAAGTGTTAGTCTACAGGACCAGCAGGGACAGGACTTACTCCATCTGGCCTCCCCCACCCTAGACTAATGCTTGAGACTTTCTTTGTCCCTGACTGACTGACTGAGTTTGGTTTCCTCCAAGCTCTGAGTGTGTCACCCTCATCTGAGGCGAGGATGCTTTTAGCAATATTCCAGTCCAACATCACTAGTATGGGGACACCATGAAATGGGCTTCACACACTTTTACCCATGTGGGGAGACCTACCTCCCTCCCTCCTTCCCCCTCCCCCATTGTCCATCAACCTGGCGGAGGGGTCTTGCATTAGAGTTCTGTGAAGGACACCGGGATGAGGGAGCAGTCATTAGAGATGAATAGTAATGTAATTAGTGTGTAGACTATCGCGCTGAATGTATAAAATTTGATATTTTTAACCACTAGACTTGCCTAATTTAGGGCTTTAGCACTGCATAGAGGGCAAGGCAGTAGGGAAAATAGTGTGGTTCAGGGACTGTGAGATAGACTATAATTAGTGCTGAGGGATCTACTTGGGAAATCAATGCGTCCCTAGAGATAGTCTGTGTGGAATATGATATTCTTAATGGCAGCACCCTATATAGAGTGATGTCTCCTCATGATGTCAATCACTGGATTGTCTGGTCGCTCATATAGCTGGAATATTGCTGATTGTCTGTCCGCCATATAGCTGGAATATTGCTATGTGCATAAACAAACAAACAAACGAGTTTTGTGAGTCCTCATTATTGCGTAATTATTACGCAGACTAAAAGTTAAATTTACTCACAACACATCATACTATGTAGCCTAGTGGTTAAAGTTGCTGCGCTTGTCAGCCGAAATCCGGGTTCGATTTCCCCACATGGGTACTATGTGTGAAGCCCATTTCTGGGGTAGCCTAGAATATTGGTTAAAGCTTAAACCTGAACTGGCTTGTACCCACCCGATCATACTGTGGTCACTCAGCAGTATCATCATTGCAGTGCAGATCTCATCACACTATCACAGGAGTCACCCACTGTACGGAAATGAAGCCTACATCTATCACACTGAGTGGGTACTTCTTTGATGGTCTTCAGATCTCAAGGGGGTAATCAGTTATTGATCAAGGAGATATTACACAGTCATTTCAAGCTTATATTAGATTGATAGCTATTTGGTTAACATGTTGACAGTCATTTCAATGCAATATCTTATATTAGTATTCATTAGATAGCTATTTGGGTTGAAACATTTGATGACCGTAAAAACCATACCCAGTCCCTGAACCTCATTATTTGCCCGTCTGCCCACCCCTTTCCCCAATGCTAAAGCCCGAACTGAAACAAGTCTAGATTTCCTCTGCTTCTTAATCTCCAATCATTTGGTCTCCATTTCAATTAAACAGGATTTTTTGTTTCTATCCAAATTATGTATATTCAGAGGCTAAGCGTTAGTCTACAGTAAACAGTTGTGGGGCAACTTGGAATGGGGTTAAAAGTTTCAGATTATCACAGAACTAGCAACAGGCGAGTGAGTGAGTGAGTTAGTTTTATGCCGCACTCAGCAATATTCCAGCTATATGATGGCGGTCTGTTAATAATAGAATCTGGACCAGACAATCCAGTGATCATCCACATGAGCATCAATCTACACAATTGGGATACGATGACATGTGTCAACCAGGTCAGCGAGCCTGACCACCTGATCCCGTTAGTCACCTCTTACAACAAGCATGGGTTGCTGAAGATCAATTCTAAACCAGATCTTCATGGGACCAACAGGTATGCTGATGTATATGTAACAAGTGCCACATTTCTAATATGATTCCACCAGATGACCAACGGACCTCAAATCATGAATGTGGACCATTGCAGACAGGTATCTTAATGAGTAAGAATCTCTGAAAGATGTTCACATCTTGGAAGTCTTCCTAATCCCATAAATTTCAGTGCAGACCCATGATCATCAATGAATCATATCAAGTATTCCTGTCCTGGTGAACCTAGCTGTCTCCAAGAGGGGAATAACCTGATACCAATATTTATGAGTCTCCTATCAGCGTCCCTGTGTGGATCAGCGGAGGTTATCAGCTTGGCAGTCACTTTGCAGTCATGAAGATCAAGATTCATTAGCTTGGCAGAAGCCATCTTGAATTCAGGGGAGATAACCCTGGGAAAGACTCAGTTAGTTTTCTGTGTTATCTGTGAAATGTGAGACCTCACTGGGATCTATGACTGGGATCTGTGTGAATGACACCAAGTACAGATAGCAGTTTATACATAGATCATGAATGAACCCATATGGGGAAGCTAAGCTTTGCATAAAGACTGTTTTGGATATGAATATTTCAACACCGGTCTCCTGAGACAGTCAGTGAATGTCTGTTGGTAACGTCAGATTTCTGATAAATGCAGATCTGGTTGTACAGGTGGTTTCTGATTGGGTTCATTGGACTGAATGTAAGTGCATTTTGTAATAGGAAATTGACCACATCTGGTTTAACTGATAGCTTGTTGACGTGAGATAGGCACCAGCAAGATACTTGGTTCTTCCATCAGCTCCTTAACGTTTCAGGTTACCATGGTAATATGAGAGAATCTAAGGGCACTTCATCAGTATCTGTAATCAGTTTCCAGGATTCATTAGTTGTTTCTGATGCGATGTTACTTGCATCACAAGTGACCTGAGAAGCGGAAAGATAGTACTCCGAGTGATGCATTGACGATCAGTATTAAAAATATCCAGAATTTAGGATTTTGAATGGTCAGAATGGGTGTTCTGTTCATAGGACCAGTATTTATGTTCCAGTTTAAAATACCCACAAATTACTTATGCGTTTATTCATTCAGTGTACATCTGGATGATGGGGAAGCAGTTGTTTTATTCATCATGTCCTTGACTGAGTCTCGACTCACAACATTGCAGCACTGTGTTGAACCACGTGTCCTTGACCGTGATATTTCTAAAATATTGATGAAAGTGTAATAGTCACTCACTCACTCACTCACTCACCATTTATCTTGCAACACTGTATCTCTCTGTTGCAACTGAGTACAGATAACTCTTTTCAGTTTGTAGCATTTTATCAACTGGTAGCACTAGTCAACCTGTAATACTATCAACCACCTGTAACACTTTCATCAACCAATACCACTGCACAGCTCTATTGCAGTGGTGTATGGATAACACCATTCAACCTGCAACACTATCAATCACCTGTAACATTAACCAATAACACTGTAGATAGATACAAATAGTGAACCTGTGCATCAACGGCAGGGGTAGCAAAGGGGTTAAAGTGTTCGCTCGTGACGCTGAAGACCCGGATTAGAATCCCCACATGGGTACAATGTGTGAAACCCACTTCTGGTGTCGTGATATTGCTGGAATATTGCTAAAAGCGGTGTAAATCCATACTCACTCACACTGTATCAAAAACCTGTAACAATATGTCCTGTAACATTTCGTCAACCTGTAACACTGTATCAGCCACCTGTAACACTGTATCAAACACCTATAACACTGTATCCACCACCTATAACACTGTATCAACCACCTATAACACTGTATCAACCACCTGTAACACTGTTTCAACCACCTGTAACACTGTATCACCACCACCTGTATGTCCACCATAACACTGTATCAACTGTATCAACCACCTATAACACTGTATCAACCACCTATAACACTGTATCAACCATCTATAACACTGTATCAACCACCTATAACACTGTATCAACCACCTATAACACTGTATCAACCACCTATAACACTGTATCAACCACCTGTAACACTGTATCAACCACCTATAACACTGTATCAACCATCTATAACACTGTATCAACCACCACTGTATAACACTGTACTGTATCAACCACCTATAACACTGTAACTATAACAACCACCTATAACACTGTATCAACCATCTATAACACTGTATCAACCACCTATAACACTGTATCAACCACCTATAACACTGTATCAACCACTTATAACACTGTATCAACCACCTGTAACACTGTATCAACCACCTGTAACACTGTATCAACCACCTGTAACACTGTATCCACCACCTATAACACTGTATCAACCACCTATAACACTGTATCAACCATCTATAACACTTTATCAACCATCTATAACACTGTATCAAACACCTATAACACTGTATCAAACACCTATAACACTGTGTCAAGCTCCTGTAACATTTCATCAACCTGTAACTCTGTATCTCTCTGTTGCAGCTGTGCTTCTGCAAAGGAGACATCATCACAGTCACACAGATTCTGGAGGAGGGATGGTGGGAAGGAACACTGAATGGCAAGACAGGATGGTTCCCTAGCAACTACGTCAAGGAAATCAAAGCAGGTATGACTAGTAATTGTGTGTCATATATAGAACACTCAACATCAAGGGGGCTGGTGGGATAGCCTAGTCGCTGGTCATGCTGAAAACCAAGGTTCGATTCCCCACATGGGTACAATGTGTGAAGCCCATTATGGTGTCTTCCGCGGTGATGTTGCTGGAAAATTGCTAAAAGCGGTGTAAAACTAAACTCACTTACGCAGTCACTCAACATCAAGGTCAAGGTCATCACGGCAAGGAGAAATTAAGAATTCCTTGCAAAATAAGACCAATAAAAAACTTTATTTTGAAGAAAGTTACGCTGCTGTAACTAGGTCAGCTGCGGTAACTAGGTCAGCTGCAGTAACTAGGCCATGTTTGTGTGTACATGCACCTGTTTGCCATTAAGTATGTATGACATTCTGAACCTGATCCTGAAAACCCCAGCATGGGTTCCCAACACAAACACCTTATCCCAGCAAGGGCAGAGTCCAAATATACAGGAATCTAGGTCCACTAACAAGATCCTGAGTCTAGTTGGTGAGCAAGTTGTCTTGGACATGTATGCTTTGTCAGTGAATGAATGATACTCAGAGTGTTGTGCACAAGAAAAACACAAGTTGAAATCCAATTATTTTGTGTTTTCGATACAGTTGTCAATTTTTGTATGTAGGAGCTTTTGTATTTAGTGCTTGTAAATTACGGATTTATATGGCCTATTCTGTGAATTCATTTTGTTTATCGTGATCAGAAGAATTGAGTATTTATTATACCTCTGCGTTCATTCTGTCCATCCGTTCGTCCGTACTTCCGTCCCGAAAATTTGGCCGGAGCATATCTCTTAAAGGTTACATGCTAGGTTCACCAAACTTCACACACATGTTAATCATTACCCATTGCTGTGCCTTTTGCTATTTTAAAGTTTTTGCAGAATTTTGGTTTTTTGCTGTTTCCATGGAAACACGACTTAGTGCCAAATGTGTTTGATGGTTTTGTCCGGAGCATATCTCTTAAAGTTTACATGCTAGGTTCACCAAACTTCACACACATGTTAATCATTACCCATTGATGTGCCTTTTGCTATTTTAATTTTTTTCAGAATTTGTTTTGTTGTTGTTTCCATGGAAACATGACTTGGTGCAAAATGTGTTTGATGGTTACCTGGCCACAGCATATCATCGAAACTATACATGCTAGGTTCACCAAACTTAATACACAAGTTAATCATGACCCACAGATATGCCATGTGCTAAAAAATAACAATTTTCATCTACGTCCACTTCATTGTGTGCAACAAGCTCAATTGTATGTCAGGTTTCCATGGAAAGCACAAAAAATAATGTTTCCATAAATTATTACTGTAATCAGTACATGGCAGAACTATTATCTAACATGTATATAAAGTTTAGTAGAGTCAAGGAGAAAGTCTTGTGAGCTGCTGATCCTTGTCATATTATATATATCAGTCATTTCCATGTCCCAAAGTGGGAAGCAGGGGTATGTGAGCTGTGCTCACTTCTACACTTGTTTATTTTATTTTTTAAAAGGGGTGTTTTACTTGAATTTGAGTGTGTGTTTTTTTATCAGCATTAGATACTCAGAATGGAACATATCCAGATCAGTCAGGATAATAGTCAACAATAGAATTTCAGTTTTTTTCATGGCTGTATTCGTATGTTATTTCATTGCTTATAGTTGACAGATCAGATTGTGTTGCATCCCAAATTTAATTTTTTTTTACCAAAGACCGCCATTGTTGGTAGGTTCAAAGAAATATGTGCACTTGTACATCCTCCTTCCTTTGAACACCTTGCTCCAGAATCCAAATCAAGGTGTTTCCCATTGCCCTGGAATTGCTGTGTAAATATTATCTCCAGACCCAGAACAAACACCACTTGTCAGAGGTGTGAACATCTGCAGTCACCGTTCAGTCTTGCCCTCTGACCTACACATGTATGTCTGATGTTAAGCTGGTACATCCGTGAAGATCTGGGTTAGAATTGGTCTTCAGCTACCCATGCTTCTCAAAAGAGGTGACTTATGGGATCGGGTGGTCAGGTTTGCAGACTTGGTTGACACATCTCATCGTGTCCAAATTGAGCAGATTGATGCTCATAATGTTGACCACTGGATTGTCTGATCCAGAATTAATTATGTACAGACCGCCGCCACATAGCTATAATATTGCTGAAGGTGGCATTAAACAACAAACAAGCAAACTGTATTAAGCATAGACCATCTGACATTACTGCGATGCACAGAGACCATCTGACATTACTGTGATGCACAGAGACCATCTGACATTACTGTGATGCACAGAGACCATCTGACATTACTGTGATGCACAGAGACCATCTGACATTACTGTGATGCACAGAGACAATCTGACCTTGTGGTACACTGAGACCATCTGACCTTCTTGTGGTACACAGAGACCATCTGACCTTGTTGTGGTACACAGAGACCATCTGACCTTACTAGGTTAAGCTTAGACCATCTGACCTTGTTGTGGTACACTGAAACCATCTGACCTAACTGACCTTACTGTGATGCACAGAGACCATCTGACCTTGTTGTGGTACACAGAGACCATCTGACCTTACTAGGTTAAGCTTAGACCATCTGACCTTGTTGTGGTACACAGAGACCATCTGACCTTACTGTGGTACACAGAGACCATCTGACCTTACAATGGTACACAGAGACCATCTGACCTTACAATGGTACACAGAGACCATCTGACCTTACAATGGTACACAGAGACCATCTGACCTTACAATGGTACACAGAGACCATCTGACCTTACAATGGTATACAGAGACCATCTGACCTTACAATGGTACACAGAGACCATCTGACCTTACAATGGTAGCACAGAGACCATCTGACCTTACAATGGTATACAGAGACCATCTGACCTTACAATGGTACACAGAGACCATCGACCATCTGACCTTACAATGGTACACAGAGACCATCTGACCTTACAATGGTATACAGAGACCATCTGACCTTACAATGGTACACAGAGACCATCTGACCTTACAATGGTATACAGAGACCATCTGAGCTTCCTGTGGTACACAGAGACCACCTGACCTGGTACAGTCTCCACCTAACACAGACCTTCTACCTTTCTCTGGTACAGTCTCCACTTAACACAGACCTTCTACCTTTCTCTGGTACAGTCTCCACTTACATTGAGCTGCAGTATAGAAGAGAGAGTTGAACTGAAACACTTGACCTTACTGTAGTACACAGACCTTCCACCTTTCTCTGGTACAGTCTCCACTTAACACAGACCTTCTACCTTTCTCTGGTACAGTCTCCACTTAACACAGACCTTCTACCTTTCTCTGGTACAGTCTCTACTTAACTGAGACCTTCTACCTTTCTCTGGTACAGTCTCCACTTAACACAGACCTTCTACCTTTCTCTGGTACAGTCTCCACTTAACACAGACCTTCTACCTTTCTCTGGTACAGTCTCCACTTAACACAGACCTTCCACTCTACTTAACACAGACCTTCTTTCTCTCTGGTACAGTCTCCACTTAACTCAGACCTTCTACCTTTCTCTGGTACAGTCTCCACTTAACTGAGACCTTCTACCTTTCTCTGGTACAGTCTCCACTTAACACTGACCTTCTACCTTTCTCTGGTACAGTCTCCACTTAACACAGACCTTCTACCTTTCTCTGGTACAGTCTCTACTTATCTGAGACCTTCTACCTTTCTCTGGTACAGTCTCCACTTAACACAGACCTTCTACCTTTCTCTGGTACAGTCTCCACTTAACACAGACCTTCTACCTTTCTCTGGTACAGTCTCCACTTAACACAGACCTTCTACCTTTCTCTGGTACAGTCTCCACTTAACACAGACCTTCCACCTTTTCTCTGGTACAGTCTCCACTTAACTCAGACCTTCTACCTTTCTCTGGTACAGTCTCCACTTAACACAGACTTCTACCTTTCTCTGGTACAGTCTCCACTTCCATTGAGCTGCAGTATAGAAGAGAGAGTTGAACTTAAACACTTGACCTTGACCTTACTCCAGTACAGGATCTGTCGCTGAAAAAGGGCCTTGTTGTCCCTTGTTGTAATTCAACAACAAATACATTTCCTTAAATCCGCATTAACACAAGCGTTGAAATGGAAGGAGAATTTCCATTACAGAAAGTTTATTTTCTGAAGAAATACACAGTTCTGAGGCTGGTGTATCTTCTTGTTATTATTCCATTTTATCGATGTACGTTTTTCCATAATATAATTAGTTAGCCATGTAACATGGCAACGGAACAACCTGTGTTTAGCAACTTCTTATGGAACCATTTTTATAGGCATACTTGTTTATTTGTAGAGAGATCCAGGAATAGCTCTGGAACACTTGAAATAACCCGATTCGTCCTATCTCATTAACCATTAAGTGTCATTATGGTGAAGATTATTTATATATTACTGATATACAGTTAAGCGAAATTATGCCCTGCCATTTGTCAATGAAGTGTTAACAGTTGAAATGACAAGCAAGGGTGTATATTGAAGCCAATGTATGATATTCTTTGAAATTGGCTTACAGTTTAAATGGTTAAGTTTCTTTGCAAAGATTAGGTTCTTGTGTAATTTCTAAAAGCTTGACTTAATATTTCCATCATTCATAGTGATTTGCTTAAGAAGATGGATTTCTGGAAAAGCTTAAAATTTCTGAAAACAGTTGTTATTTTTATTTTTTTGCTAGGAAACTAACTAAGAGATAGGTTTGAGATTGTAATGGGTTTTTGCGAATAATGTGACAATTTTGTCCGTCAGCACACAGCGTGATGTGATCATGGCAACAAAACCATGGTTTTCTGGCCTTTGTTTCAAGGCAGTACGGGATGTTTGTATGAAAGAAGGTAGTCATGGAGTTGGTCTTTTAATGACTTGATAAGGGACAGACAGACATGGTGATAATGGGGTCAAAATTGTTTTATCAGTTCAGACATACTTTAGGTTTCATATTCTTGATTTTGTCCCCTTTAAAAACAAATTAGATTTTGCTCCTTTTTTTTCTTGATATTTTCTTCTGGGGTCTTGATGTAGGTAAAATTTAACTGTTTTGCTTTCAAGGTGGTTGTGGGGGGTAGCCTAGTGGTTGTAGCGTCAAGCCCATTTCTGGTGTCCCCCGCCGTGATATTGCCGGAATATTGCTGAAAGTGGAACTAAACTCACTCACTCACTCAACTCACTCACTCACTCACTCACTCACTCACTCACTCACTCACTCACTCACTCACTCACATGGCCTGGTTAGCATGACATAACTACATACATAAGTATGACTCTAGAAGGTGCTTGGTCTCCCTTTTTTAGCCAAGAAGAAAATACTGAGAGGCAAGCCGTAAGTCGTGTCTCAGTCCCTCAACCTCATTATTTTCCCTTGAACCCAACCCATACTGTACAGCAAAAGGACAAAGTGAAGCAAGTCTAGATTTTCCTGTGGTTCAGGGTCTGAATCTCCCACCTCACTTGGAATTCTTTTCAATTTAAATGATGTTTCTGTCAAAATTATATATTTTCAGGGACAACGCACTAGTCTAGTTAATCTGCCTTACCGTCTCTTAACTGCATAATTTTGCCTTACCATGAACCCTTACTGTGAAGCTGAAGCCCATAGTGAAGCAAGTCTAGATTCTCCCCAGCTTCAGTTTCTGAATATCCCACCTTGATAAAGATAAAGATAAAGATAAAGATGAAGATATTTATTGCATAGCATTCCATGAAGAAACAGTGGCTATATTCTATAAGCTACAAATATTTACACAGTAGGTACAAGAAATATAGATACATTTCACACATAAATGATGTACATTATAACAATTTTTAGAAATCATGTGGTATAATGACATGGACATAATATATGAGGAGACTATGGTAAGATATAAAATTCATTTAAAGTTGTAAAGATGTTGACATATTTTGGAAGTTAATTCAGGACTTCTGTTCATGAAAATTATTAGGAATTGTTCTTTTTTTGAGAGTTTAGTAAATTCTTGGTCATAATAAAGCATTGTGTGTGTAAGTGATTCCCTTTCTTCGTTATACTTGGTACATGATATTATATGGTGTTGCTCATCGTCTAAGACACTGCACATTTGACAGAGACGTTGTTCTAATGGGGTTGCAGGTTTTGTATATCTTCCAGTTTCAATTTTGAGTTTATGATTACTTAAACGTATACAATGAATAAATGAGGCTCCTTTTCAACATGAATGAAGTTCTTCTTATCAGAATCGTTAGCAGTGTGCGAAATTTATGCTGGTCTTGTGGTCCCAGTCTAGTAAAGATTCATCAGGACCACTAAATGATAAATTTGCAGTGGTCCTGGTAGCCAGTGAATTTGTTATTAATAGTTAAGTAAATCAACGAATGTTATTTTGGACCAGTGAAGACAGACAGGACCACTAATTATTGTCCACTCAATGGTCCTGTGGTGTGGTGGGAAGGTTTGAAAGGTTTCTTTCCCTGCTAAGTTTAGTGCACAGCAACTGAAAATATTTCTGATGTGGCGATGTGGCAGATGATGTCACGAGGTCATCTAAAGGTCATCCTGTCTGCCAGACTTGCCAACCTTTCCAGGTGCACTTAGTCTGTCTCACAGTCCCTGAACCACATTAATTTCCCTACTGCCAAGCCCTCTCTGCAGTGCTAAAGCCCTAAATAAAGCAAGTCTAGATTTCCTCAGGTGCTGAATCTCTGGTCTCCCTAGGGCTCCTTTTCAATATAAATGGGCTTGTTTGTTACTATCAAAATTATATATATTCAGAGACTAAGCCTTAGTCTAAGGTGCACTATGCCATAAGGAATGTCTCACGCTCAGCTGCTTCGACCAATGTCCAGCAGCTTCAGGAACTTGTAGTGCTTGTTGACTTTGACATTGAATCAGTCTGTTGCTCTAAGATCATAGGGGGATTGTAACAGAGACCATATAATAGATGGTCTCTGATTGTAACAAAGGATTTGCACTGCTTCAGTATATGCTTTAACAGTAAGACTGAAAGTAGCTGGTCAGATGGCTTGTACAAAAGATTCACAGGCATCCAGCACCCTATAAGCTAAACAAAATAGCTAAAAATTTAAGGTGTGTGATATTCAGCATACAAATATGTCACTTATATCTTGTGTCTTTATTAGAGTGAAGTTATTTGTTGTTTGATTTTTGTTTTGTTTCATCATTTACTGCACTCAGCCATATTCCAGCTGTGTCTATGAATAATGGAGTCTGGTCCAGACAAACCAGTGATTGATGTCATGAGCATCAGTCAACCAAGTCTGACAACCCTGTCCATGTAGTCACCTCTTGCAAGCACAGTTTGCTGGGGACCTACATTCTTTGAAACAAAACATAGTAATTAATATCAGAATATACATTAAGAGTGAAACGTGCATGCTGAGGTGGCTGGAAAAAAAATATTCTTATGTTCTAATGGGAATGTTTTGAAGAATGAACTAGCATGTGAAAAACCTCAGGAAAAGTCAAATCTTGCCTTAAAAAACTGGCTAAAGAAGGCATGTTTCAACCTGGGGTGAGAGCAGCGTAAAACTTAACTCACTCACTCACTCAACCTGGGGTAGAGTTGTGTCCCCTAGCACTAGTGCCTGTCTGGTGACTAAATCTGAAACCTGTTTGAATGCTGGGTTATAATTTCTCCCATTAGCTAATGTCAGGTGTTAAGGCAATGTCAGGCAAGTGGGTGGTCAGGCTGGTTAGCAAACCCAAAAGGCATGCACTGGTGCTCTGAATTTCAATCACTGTATTGTCTGCTCCAGATTTGATTGCTTACAGGATATTGCAGTCCTGCATTAGACAACAGTGAGGATTGGGAAGTGACAATGTCAGACTTAATCTTTAGTCAGACTTCTATTTGTTTGGTAAGGCTGAACGATTCAGAGAACGAGAACTGTCTCAGGGGTGGAAATAACTTTAAAATTTCTAGTGTACTCCGGTACAGTGGCACATGTAAAATCACTTGCCCTGATAAATTGTTCTATACCGGCCGTTTTCTTGTTGATTTTTAAATAAACAACATAATTAACATTGGAATATCAACTGGACACGGTACAGTGTGATATACAAATTTGCTTGCCCGACAGAAAAAACACTGGACTCGAGGCGTGCCGGCAATGGGTTATTTCCACCCCTGTGTCTTAATGTCATGCCAAACAAACATGTTCATGCTTGTCTGAATTTGGGTGGGGAAGCCTTGTGGTTAAAGTGTTCACTCGTCATGCCAAAGACCCGAATTGGATTTCCCACATAGGTCCAATGTGTGAAGCCCATTTCTGGTGTCTCCTGCCGTGATATTGCTGGTATATTGCTGAAAGAGGGGTAAAACCCTACTCACTCACTCACTTGTCTGACTTCATCGGGGAATTGTATTGAACTTATTATCTTGTTGGTGCTCTTAATATCGATCACTGTATTGTCTCGTCATTAGCTTGATGTGTCACGGTGGCTGGTGGCCATTCAGGAAATGAACTAAAAATAATGAAACAAATTTCGTCTTCCAGACATTGCTATGAGGACCCATTCAGCTGAGGTGCCGCAGTTCAAGAGAGAGAGCATGCAGCTGTATCACAGCGTGGTGAGTTGATATCCCAGACTGGCTGGTGTAGTGTAGCATCATACCCCGTCAGTGCTCACTTGCTTCTGGCTAGATTTAAAGTAGTGTTCTTGTACTGTTGTCATGGAAACAATTTCATCCACTTTCTTTGTGATGTTCTGCTCGTCATAGATTAAATGTAAGATTTACCCTGATTCACCTTCATTCACAATAAACGGCTTTCCATGAGTAACCAAACCTTATATGAGAGGAATACTACTGAAAGCTGTGGTGTTCCAAAATAATTTGTGTTCAGTTATGAGACAATGTAATCAAGTGCTTGGTTGTTTGGTCTCTACAACCAATTTTCCATTATTTCCGTTAATCAGAGCACAACTTGTGGAGGGTAGCCTATAGTGGTTATAGCATTCACTCAAAGGGCTCTGATACAGTTTTACACTCTGTAGAGGGGGTCGACAGGAGACACTCTGATACAATATATTTTAAAGTTACCCACTGTCATGTAGCTGGAATATTGCTAAACATTGCATAAAATCCACCTGACTGATTGACCTCTTGATGGCTTGTTTCAGGTGCTGAAGAACATCATTGAGACAGAGAAGACCCATGTGTCGGGGATGTCTCAGATACTACAGACCTACATCCTCCCCCTACAGAACGCTGGCATGTAAGTACACCTGTAGAGACTGTTGATTCATATAGGGTCACAGGAGACTGTTGATTCATATAGTCCAGCATTGTCATTGAGTCCTGCAACAGTGGGTAGATCCTTTCTCTAAACAGGAACAAAAGTCCCTAAGTTGAGTCTTTGATGTGAAGATCTTGTGACCTTTCTGTCCTTTTCGTCAACATTTTGTTAGGACCATTTCTGTATTCGTAACATTGAAATTGGATATATACCAGGGCTTGAATTAAATAATCTGTGAGTCTTAGACACTACTAAAATAAATGACACTACTAAAAAAAAAAAAAAAAATTCACTTAATCTCTAGTCTAGATTTTTACACAGACATTTGACCAATTTTGTGTTTGTAACTTAAGTTTGGATTTCACAGAGTAAAATCAGGCAAAGTTTGGAGTTCTTTTTTTTATAGTTTTTAGCATTTTTCAACATTTTTACAAACAAATAACAGTGATGAGTACATGAAAAATCAATCAAATAGTTTTAGCAGAAAATGATTCTGGCATTGATATTACCAGTTCGAACACTTTGTTAACATATAATATTCAAACAGTTTATGTTGAAAAACTTGGAAAGATGGCATAATGTTGTTAAACTTATTTCGAAAAATTAACCAGTTCTGCCTGGTCCTATTACCAGTTAGCTTCAGTGGTAAGACAAATTTTACCAAGGATACCCTAACGATAATATTTAAGAGTAGGAAGACCAAATACTGCCAATATTATTAGACCAACAGGGATAAATAGATGGAGGTATTCCTAACATTTCAGTCAGCCGTCACCAACTGATTCCTAGTATTATCAACCTACATTATGATTGCTAATTTTCGCTGCCCCAGATAAGCCCTTCATGTAATTTGTCAGATCATGAACTTGAGTGATACAGAAATGTTTGGCATATCTCAGAGATTATGATAATGTTTTGAGGTAAGCTGTCAGTTTTTCTCCCAGGAGGAAAGATAAGATTTGAACACAGGGCATATTTTCAGTGTACAGCTTGTGTTTCATTAGTTTTGACCATCTGTGCTGCAAACCACAGATGTATAAGCGTCAGATTTATGCATTTTCATAAGATGGTTCTTTTTTTTTTTATAAATTAAGCCAAATAGGACATTCTTGTAATTATATGACCTTTGGCAAGCCATGTGGTTCAAGGGTTGACTCACCTCATTCTCTCACTCACCTACTGCATATCTCCGCATGACCATGACAGTAAAAAAATCTGTTAGTTTTAAGCACTTAAGTTATATGGAGAGAGTCTATTTTGTATAATATAATCACCAGATATTTAATTTTCAAGGCCAATTTGGTTTAACTGTGACTTAGTAAAATGTAATTGCTAGTTTGTATTTATTTGAATACAACATTATAATTAGATGGAAATGCAGTGATAATATAAATGAGATGTGTATGTAAAATAAACTGTTACACATAAATTGTAAAGGAAAATTTGAGATGTTCCCACTCATCCTTTCTTCCGACTCTCCAATTGTGGAGAATGTATTTTTTTCACACCGCAATCATAATTGACGCAAGGCTCATTTGAACTCTACTTGTAGATTATACATGTATAGTAAGGAATTCGGATCCAGGGGAAGTTTACCAAAAGTTCTTGGAAAAGTTATTTCGAATGAAATGCAAAGATTTACTGTCACAAATCATCACTGGCTATCAGGTGCTGGTTGACATCAGTCTAAAAAAATTAGACCCTCACTCACTCTTAGTAGTGGGAGACTTTGTCTCACTGTGGCTCATTATCTCCCATTATCTCCCATTATCTCTCATTATCTCTCCTTATCTCTCATTATCTCCCATTATCTCTCATTATCTCTCTTTCACTCTCTGACCTGTGAAGATCTGGGGTAGAATACGTCTTCAGCAACCCATGCTTGCCACAAAAGGCAACTATGCTTGTCGTAAGAGGCGACTAACGGGATCAGGTGGTCAGGCTCGCTGACTTGGTTGACACATGTCATCGGTTCCCAATTGCGCAGATCGATGCTCATGCTGTTGATCACTGGATTGTCTGGTCTCGATTATTTACAGACTGCCGCCATAAAGCTGGAATATTGCTAAGTGCGGCGTAAAACTAAACTCACTCACTCACTCACTCATTCACTCTCTTTACTTTTGCCCATTCTCACTCACTCACTCACTCACTCTCATTCTCCCACTTAATCAACCCCACAGATCAAATGAATGTTGATGCACCTACGTAAGTTGCAAGCTGTTCACGTCCATTTCAATCTTAATCTCGTCCATTTCAATCTAAAGCTCGTTTGTTGCAGGGCAGAGAGGTGGGATACAATTACCTGATTACGGTTGTACGTTGTGTGTTTCAGATTGACGCCGGTGGAGTACTGCCAGCTTGTGGGGAACATTGAGCAGCTGATAGCATTCCAGCACAATTTCCTCGCATCACTTGAGGAATGTGAAAAGTAAGTCTACATATCTACACCTGTGGTATGTTAAAACTCTGCAAGTTCATTTGCAAATTAATGGTATGTTCATTCCAAGAACTGCAACCTAGATATCCATTGTAATATCGACACATTAGATGTCAATTTATTAAATGTACAAATATTTGAAGAAAAATTTCAATTTGATTTGTACGTATTTGTCAACATTCAGGTTTATTTATTTCTATAAGCTTTAGTCTAATGCAGAGTCTACAGTGTGTGGAGTTGAACTGAGCAGGTTATGGTAGAGAATGGTTACGACAGTCCGTAAATCCGTAAAACAAGAAATAAAATTGGCCTGGCCTTATCTTTAAACAATGACATTCAATCATCGACAGAATGAGACGCGAAACGTTTCGCCATGATTTTTCCTGAACGGTCATAAAGGGAGATAACTTGGGATGGCTTAGTTTATGATAATAATTATTGAATTTGAGGTTTTGTTAAATGACAAGTGAAATACAGAAGCATTTTACTTTTTGGATGTATTTTTTGACGCAAACAAATAAGAAATTATGGCAGCGATCAAGGTCATTCAGTACAACCCGTGTAGTGTGTCACATGACAGATTTGACGGGGTGTAGGTTTGTATACCCTGGCAAATCCACCTACATGGTTTCGTATGCTTTGGCTATTGACCTATCAGAATTCGACAAATTTATCTTAAGGGTATTAAAGAAACATACGATGGGAACTGTCATACTGCATTTCATTCATGTATAAGATGCATTTCATTGTGTTATATAAGTAACGAGCATACGCCGTAATGAATATTTTGCGATGCACACCACCACTCACAATCAGCTAAACGGGAACAACATATATGGTTTCTCTTTTGGGTTGGGAGACCGCCTCCGTGGTGTAGTGGTTAGAGCGTCCCCGCCGGTGAGCCGGAAGGTCGCGGGTTCGATCCCCGGCCGCGTCATACCAAAAGACGTTAAAATATGGTACTTGTTGGTCCCTGCCTGGCGCTCGGCATTTATGGGTACAACAAGGACTGGTCGGCTCGGAGTCAGTATAATGTGTCTGAGTGGGGTATTCATGCTTCACTGCGGCATGGTATCTCAGTGAGCTAGCACTATAAAACCAGCTTCAGTCTGGGCTAGTACAAGCAGCCGCACATACACATACACACGCATGCACGTCGTCATATGAGCGAAATATTCTCAAGCACGACGTTAAACCCATTTCACCTCACCTCACCTTTTGGGTTGGGAATATGAGCTCGTCAGGTACTGTGTAAATTTCTGTACTTTGACTTTGTTAAGGGTACGTTTCTGTAGTACCTGTGCCGATCCCGACCCGACCCCGACCCCGACCTCGACCCTAACCCCGACCTCTTCAGTGGAAGTAATGTGGTTTAGGGACTGTGAGACAGTCTTGGATCCAGACAACTAAAAATAAAATTGTCTTTCAGTGAAGCATTGCAGTGTTGCTCAGAGGTCTAGACAAAGGAGGTTAGGAGTAATTAATGGCTGCTGAGAACAACAGCGGATTTGTTACTGAGGCTTCTATAACATGAAGGTTTATAGGCCAGACCTCCCCACACCTCCCCACACCTGGTGGGGTCTTGTTTAGGAAACACGACAGGTTGGGGAAACATTAGATCAGCCTCCCTTGAAGTAGCATCTGCTTGCTGGTCAATTACCATGGTAACAAACCCACAGAAGGAAGCCAGTTCTGTGCTAGTCTGTCTGACAGTCCCTGAACCACATTATTTTCTCTACTGCCTAGCCCTCCCAGCAATGCTAAAGTCCTAAATGAAGCTTATGCAAACTGGAATATGTACACGCCATGCAGCCATGTAACTTGTGTAACTGTACAGTTCTGTCCTCCTCATCAGGCTGTAAGTGGCATTGGCGATGTTTTGCTTTTTAGATTTATGAAAACATCTCATTGAAATGTTTCATACCTAAGCATTTTCATGACATGTTTTCTGTATCCCTGGACATCAAATGAATAAACATTTTTATCATCCAAAACTGTCTTCCACAAGAGATATTGCTTGTGTGAGATCAAACGATATCTCCTAGGAGATATCACTTTGACAGTAGAGTTTGGACAATGCTATGATGACATCACAATGCTATGACATCGCTGCACTGCAAGTCTAATGGCAGTACCGTGTTCAGAGATGTACATTTTCCATTGAAAACTAATGAAGAGTGATTTTGGATGATAAACAGAATCTCACCCTCATGTCTTCTGATATCAAATATATCAACACTTGTTGATAAAAGTAAAAATATCCTTGGCATGCCTTGGATATTTGTAACTTTATCAACTTGTGGCGATATATTTGATATCAAAAGACACGAAGGTGAGATTCTCTATGTATGGGTTACCCTATATTTGTGATACATATTGTATTCCCCTTCATGGTGTAATCGTGTGAAGCCCATTTCTGGTGTCCCAGTTCACTATTTGTTACGAGGGAGGAGTGCAGAGAAAAGGACAGCCAGGTGTTAGAGAAGCACGTGCACAAGTGCCCACCAAGTTATTGATTCATTGGCCTAGGCCTGTGCTGTGCCGTCTCCATCCTTTCTCGCACACCTGGCTGTCCCTTTCTCCGCGCTCCTCCCTCGTACCAAATAGTGAACTGTGTCAAAATTTTAATGATAGTTTCTTAAAGAACTTTTTGGGTGGAGTCCGGAAAATTTTCAAATATAAGAAAGCTGTTGGGTATTAGTAAATGATAAACATGTGTACTATTTATATTTATGTGACAATTTTGTACAATGATAAAATTTGCAATTCATCGGTCCGTTTCTGACTCAAACAGACTGTACATGGTTGTAATTATGATTATAACAGAGATAAAAATGACAGATGCAAAGTTACACAATTATTGCTATTTACTATTGAACTTGAAACAATGAACTCTTCTATCAACAAAACATAATCAATTGTTTAAAAGGGTCATCATCAGTTGCTTTAATAGCTGGGTTTGGTCAGTCTGACCTATAATTGCCTTGGAGCAAGGTAGCCTGTACTGTATGCTGAGCCCATGGATGTATAGTAATTCTATCCTTCCAAGAGGCAAGTCTACACCAGTCTGTTATCATATTTGTTTTATAGAAATTTTCATTTAAACTTTTAGTTAATACCTTAGAGACTTGTGGAAGTCACAAGAAAGAAATCAAGATACCTTACATCTGTGCTGGGAAGTGGATGAGTATAGTCTGCTAGACCTGAAAGGGGAATCAGAAATTGTGATTAAATCATTATATCACTTACAATATATTTTATGTTAATAACTGACCATATTGGCCATCAGGAGGATGCATGGCAAGATGTCATACATGGGATACAGATAGGATGATGAATTGACTGCAGATTCAGAGCTGGGCCTGTTTCAGCCCATCTCAGGGAAGACAACCATTTGAAATATTTGGAAATTGTGTTAATTTGTGAAAGACATCCCTTGCATCTGATAAGACAAGTAACAAGCTGGACTCATATATTACTCCAGGATGTTTACACACAGCACAGACACATGGTGAGAGAACAATCTGTGACTGATTTACTGCCTCCCTCTACATCACACACACAGACATGTGTACAACAGTGAGTGCTCTGTGTTGTGCCCCTGTAGACTCGGGAGGGGGGAGACAAGGGAATGTCGATTAGAAACAGGAAGATGGGATGTGTGGGTCTAGGGGATGGTGGAGGTGAGGGGTGGTGTCAGCTGGTACTGAAGTTGGGTGGGGGTGGGGGTGGAGGTGGAGGGGTGAAGGGTAGTACTGAAGTTGGGTGTGGAGGCGGAGGGGTGAAGGGTAGTACTGAAGCTGGGTAGGGGTGGGAGGCGGAGGGGTGAATGGTAGTACTGAAGTTGGGTGGGGTGGAGGTGGTGGGTGGTGTCAGTAGTACTGAAGTTGGGTGGAAGTGGAGGGGGTGAAGGGTAGTACTGAAGTTGGGTAGGGGTGGAAGTGTAGGGGAGGGGTGTGGTAGTACTGAAGTTGGGTAGGGTGGAGGTGAAGGGGGGTGTCAGCTGGTACTGAAGTTGGGTGGGTAGGTGAGGGGTGAAGGGTAGTACTGAAGTTGGGTGAGTGGGTAGGTGATTTGTTTTGTTTGGGTTTGAGTGGGGAGGTGAGGTTTGTGGGGATGAACCAACTGAGATGATGATTTGATGTTGTTGTTTTAAAACTTGTTATGTTTTTAGGTTTGTTTTGTTTTGTTAATGTTGGATGTTTGGGTGATTTTCATTGTGAATGTGTAGGCTTAAGGTTGGTGTCAGAAGGAGGTAACTTTGGGAGGAATTATGCTTAAGGTGGCAAGGAGTGGAATATGTTGGATACAGAAGGTACCATGGATGGGACATGAAAGGGTTGGGGAGGAAGGGGGAGAGAGGGGGGTGCAGAGGAGGGACTTGGATCAGACAGATGTGTTTGCATTCCGGTGATAACCCCCTTGCCCAACAGACTGCTCCCATTATCTTCTTACAGTGAGTGAAGTGCTACATTAGACTTCATGTAACACATGAATGCTGGGAAGGCCTGATGTAATGAAACATGTCCAACATCTGGGAATGGCAGGGAGAGATTGTCATGCTTCATGGCAGCTTATGAGACATGCAATATTTGTTTCAATTAAAGTAATGTTAAAATACCAGAATTATGAGTGAATTCAGAGGAGGACCTGGAGTATTCCTCATTAACTTAAAAAACTGTTACCATGGTGACTTGAACATTTTGGCGATTGATGATGTCTTGTATGCTTGAATAGTTGCTGTTGGTGTCATCTTGCTGTGGTTGTATCTGCGTATGCTGTGCTGATGGTTTCACACAACGACACAAGGAGTAGGGACAGTTAGGTATAGTCTGTTTGCAGTGAAAACGTACCGATGAATGTCACTTAAACAAAAGCGTAAATCAAATAAAGTGAAATTAACATTGTGAATCCTCATAATTTGACCTTGCCAATTGAACATTTAAATCTCAGAATTTTGATCAGCTTAGGATAAAAGTTGTTTAACAAACGATCATAGTTTCAAATCGCTACTATTGGTTTATATTACAAGGGGGTAAGCGCATTAGTTAGAACAGTGAAACAAATGCACGTGCGGTTCGTGACAAGCGTTAACTTAGACCAACCCTACATGTTCCCGGAGTTTCATTTAATGTGCATACCCCCTTGTAATACAAACCAATAAGAGCGATTTGAAACTATGATCGTTTGTTAAACAACTTTTATCCTAAGTTGAATAAAATTCTGAGATTTAAATGTTCAATTGGCAAGGTCAAATTGTGAGGATTCCCAATTTCACTTTATTTGATTTACTTTTTTGTTTAAAATGAAATTCATGGGTTACGTTTTCACTGCAAACAGACTATAGTGTTTGGAGTTGGGGCTGTTCTGTGTAACTGGTTTATATCATGCCTGGGCTAGTCATTTCTAATTATGGATAGCCTAGTGGTTAAAGCTTTCGCTCATCACTCTGAAGACCTGGGTTCGATTCACCACATTGGTACAATATGTGAAGTCCATTTCTGGTGATATTGTTGGAATATTGCTAAAAGCGGTGTAAAACCAAACTTACTCACTCACTATTATAGATGTTGTAGCAGTAGTTTTCTCCCTTGGATTGTTTTCTTAAGAATAATCTTTGTAGGGCATAGCTTGTGAAATATTGCTGCTACTTAGCCACTCACTCACTCTCACAACTCTGAACTACCATTCCAAACAACCTCTCCAACAACCATCCTAAACGGCCATTCCAAATAATGCTCCTAAGGCCAGACCAATTATATTTCTTGTTTTACGGATCTGCCTGTCATATTTTTTCAAGAATAAGAAACAAAATCAAAATTAATTTTCCCTGCTCAAAAACCAAAATCCTAATGTTTTTGTGGGCCAAAAATGTAAACTTACAAGCATTTTTGTTTAGATTGTTTTTCGCCCCATATACACTTCATAAAGTGCCAAAGTAAAATACTTTGAGTATTCAGAAGGAATGTTACTTTGACTGGTGATTTTATTTTTATTTATTTTTTCCCTCCTGCCTTTAGGTTTTCTGAGGACAAAAATCCGTAAAACAAGAAATAAAATTGGCCTGGCCTAAACAACACTTATAAACAACTCCCCCTTAACAACCCATCCAAGTAATCCTGTAACAACCATCATGAGCAGCCCATCCAGACAATATCACCAGCAACTGGTTCCACGACGCAATCAATCTATCCTGAAACCATATACACAAACGTCTACTAGACTAACGCTTAGTATCTGAATATATACAGGGCTCGATTTAGTGCTTTGTTACTTGCACTGGTGCAACCAAATATGACAAAGTGCAACCTAGTTATTAGTCTAACTTGCACCAGGTGCAAGTCAATTTTTGAGTGGGTAAACTTCTGAATAAAGCATCTCAATAATTCAGTAGCATATTTCTGATATTACATGTTGCAATAAAACAGTGCAACTGGAATTTGACTGGTGCAACTAGGTTTTTATCTTAGGTTGCACCTGGTCCAAGTGGGTTAATATCTCTTAAATCGAGCCCTGTTATATAATTTTGATTGTAACAAATAAACACATTTAAATGGAAAAGGAGCCCCAATGAAATGGGAGATTGCTGGGGAAATGTAGACTTTCTTCATTTTGGGCTTTAGCAATGCAGGGAAGGCTAGGCTGTAGGGAAAATAATGTGGTTCAGGGACAGAGGGACTAGAGCGTCTACATGATTCTGGGCACTCATCACATTCCGTTACAGTCCAGCCTTGACCTCCCTTGTCACTCGTTAATCAAGGATCGGTTGGTCAGGCTCACTGACTTGGTTGATATATGGCATCGTATCCCAATTGCATAGATCGATGCTCATGCTGTTTATCACTGGATTGTCTGGTCCAGATTTGATTATTTACAGACCGCCGACATATCGTGTGAATATTGACGAGTGCGGCATAAAACTAAACTCACTCACTCACCATGGTAGCATTTATTTCACCCTAATAATCCTACCTTGATGTTGATTGGTGATTCTGGGTTAGAATCGGTCCATGGCAACCTTTACCAGTCGAAAGACTTGATCAAAACGACTGCATAGTTGGGCTAGGTTGCTTGGTCGATAGTGTGTCATTCTACCCCAACAGCATAGATCTTCCTTCTTAATATCAATCACTCGATTGTCTGGTCCAGACTCAATTATTTCCATGTCTCCAAGTGGAATATTGTGAAGTGCAGTATCCAACAACAGACAAATAATCCCCGATGTAGAATAAGACATCAGTTGCTTGTTGTTGCAGATTGCCCCCGACGCAGCGCCGGATCGGCGGAGTCTTCATGAAGCACGCTGAGCAGCTGAAACAGCTGTACATGGACTACTGTGGCAACCACCCCAAGGCTGTATCGGTGCTGCAGATACACAGGTGAGTCGGCTGAAGTGCTGCAAGATGCTATGCAGAGTTGCTTCCCTTTGACCTCTTTATATTGTGAGCTTTGTATATTATCTACTTGTGTCAATATATAATGATATATATACATATTTATATATCATTTCAATACACATTTACAGTATTTTCCTGAAAGGGGCAGAAAGCAGCCCTAAAGGATTGTTACACAAAAACAGTTGTTATTCCTAAAAAGCCATTATGTTTTAATGTAAACAAAATTTAGAGAAATGATCCACCAAAAGCAGACTGAAATAGGTTGCAGATGCTTCAGGTTTTGACAGCTGAGTGACAGGTATTGACAGGTGAGTGACAGCTATATACATCAGGTATTGTCAGGTGAGTGACAGCTATATACATGATTGATGTTTTTTCAGGGAGGACCTGAGTAGATTCATGGAAAGTGTTGACGCCACGCCCCCAGGGGCAATGACTCTCACCACCAACCTATCCAAGCCCTTCACTCGACTTGACCGATACCCCAGTCTGCTTAAGGAGCTGGAGAGGCACATCGAGGTACACCTTGTATCCACTGTATCAGATGTGTCCAGTCAAACCTTAGTCCAGACACTGTCAGAAACACTGTCGACACTGTCGTTTATTACTGAAAGCATTGATGTTTCTGATGCCAGTGATGTGTAAACAGTGAATTTTTTTAATCCAGTCGATATTGTTGGGGACTTAATGAAAGTATTTTGTTGGCAACTAGTAAAACATCTTCTCACACCTATGATGTGTTGATAGATTAATTTGTTAAGCCAAGCAAAAAAAATTGGGGTTTAGTAAGTTTTTAAAATAATAGTTGCTCTGGCCATACATGTTTCCAATAAATTATATTCACAACAGATTGCTATATTTATCTGAAAGGAAATCTTGTGATTTGAATAAAACTGAACTAGCTGTTAGTAACTTTATTATGAAATATTTTTAATGAAAATTTATCTTTTATAGGAAAGCCATTCAGATCGAGGGGACACGCAAAGGGCAATAGCAGTGTACAGAGATATAGCAGTAAGTGACACCACTGTAATATAATGTCATTTGAAAAGATACTAAACGTGATTTTATAACCTCTGAACTCTGATCCGGGTTGGAGCTGGTCCTCTGCAACCCATGCTTGTGGTACGAGGCGACTAACAGGATCGGGTGGTCAGGCTCACCGATTTGGTTGACACATCATGGTATCCCAATTGTGTATATCAATGCCCATGCTGTTGACCATTGGATGTCTGGTTGAGACTCGATTATTTTCAGACTGCCGCCGTTTAGCTGGAATATTGCTGAGTGCGGCGTTTTACAAACAAACAAACCTCTGAACTAAGTCCATCTTTCAGTCCCTGAACTGCATCATTTTCCCTTGAAGCCAGGGGTAGCCTAGTGGTTAAAGCATCCACACGTCACGCTGAAGACCCGGGTTCAATTCCCCACATGGGTACACTATGTGAAGCCCATTTCTGGTGTCCCCGCCATGATATTGCTGGAATATTGCTAAAAGCAGCGTAAAACCATACTCACTCACTCCCTTGGAACCAGCCCTATCTGTAATGCAAAACCCCTAAATGAAGCAAGGGAAGATTTACCACAGGCTCAGAATCTTCCATCTCACTTGGGCTCCTTTCCAATTTAAATGAAATCATTTGTTTCTATCAAAACTACATAAGTCTACCTCAGAACTCTTCTTCTAATAAAACACCCAAGTTCCCAACAGCTTCTGCTAGTTGTGCAAAGCGACTGTACAGATTGTGTGACCAGACTTGAAGTATTGGTTACAGGTTACCATCCTCCTAAAGGGTGAGATTGCCGACTTTGTGTGCTGGCGATAAGGAGCCTCACTCTGAGAGGGGGTCTGACTCAACATCCGAAACGTACTAGAATCTGTACTACGCAAAAAGTGTAATCCCTAATATAACATATATATGCTTGCTGTTACAGAATTCGTGTTTAGAAGTACGTAAACTGAAGGAGATGGAGCTGGAGATTGTAACCAGCACAATAGCCGGCTGGGAGGGAGAGGTGAGACAATGTTTAATGTAAAGAAACTGTCTCAGTAAGTTTGTCTGTTAAACTATCATCGTGAGAGTCAAATCCTGCTAACATCAATTCCTCAGAAGTAAACCTGGAAATTTGACCTTCTGAAGTGAGAGTCTGTAGTGTGAACTTCTGAGGAATAAACTCTCGAGATGGGAACCTCCTGTGATCTTAGCCTGTCATGACCTTAACCTCTGGAGGTCAGACTCCTGAGGCCTTGGCCTTAAGGACCCGAGACTGGAAGACGTTGTAGTCGTAGATTCTGTTGGAGTTGTAGATTCTGATGTTTTTGTAATCTTAGCCTTCTGAGGTTGGAGCCTAATGATCTTAGCCTCCCAAGAACTTCGGCCCCTGAGGTCGAAGTTTTTTGAGGCTCCTACTGTGACCTTGACCTCCAGTGATGCAAGGTGGGAGCTTTCATATAATTCCAGCTTCATGATATCAGAGACATATGTGATCTTAGGCTCTGAAAGTTCGAGCCCTCTTTTATCAGAGTTCGGGGGTGTTTCATGTCTGTATTCTTGTCTCTGCCCATGTTTATACTACTGCAATATCTGTGTTTCAGTCTATAGCCAGTCTGGGTGAGGTGGTCCATCTGTCACAGGTCAAGCTCCACAAGCAGACTGGGGAGAAGCATGACCGGATATTTGTCCTGTTCCCCAACGTGCTGGTCATGTTGTCCATGAGTGCCAGACTCAGCGGCTACCAATACGAGGTAAAACACAGTGTCTGTTTATTTGTTTTGTTGGGTGTTAAATGCACACACAGCAATATTTCAGCTTCATGACACCGGTCTGTAAATAATCAAATCTGGGCCACACAATCCAGTGATTGACATTATGATCAATGATCTTCATAATTGGGATACAGTGACATGATTACACAATGCCATTTAGAAAGTGGTCAAATGCAACATATGTTATATTTGGGATTACACTTTCTTAGTAAAGTACAAATTCTAGTATTTTTTTAGTTAAGCCCCATCCGGCTTCGAACTCACACCCTCAGAGTCAGGCACCTAATCACCAGCACACAAAGTCAGCCGTCGTGGAAGTTGCAGTGGCTGAGCAGGTTAGGGCGGCTGACTTTGTTTGCTGGTGATTAGGTGCATGACTCTGAGGCTGTGAGTTGAAGTCCGGATGGGGCTCAACTCAAAAAGTACTAGAATTTGTACTTTACTAAGAAAGTGTAATCCCAAATATAACATATGTTACATACAATGACATGAGTCAAACAAGGCAACTAGTCTGACCACCTGATGCAATTAGATATCTGCTATGTTTGTTTGTCGCTTAACGCCACACTCAGCAACATTCCAGCTAAATGATGGCGGTCTGTGAATAATCGAATCTGGACCACACAATCCAGTGACTGACATCATGAGCATCGATCTACACAATTGGAGACGAGCACGGGTTGCTGAAGTGAAATAGAGACAGGGCCCATGGTGTTACTGGTGTTGAAGATTATTGTCCATTCTGTGTTGCAATCGGCTGAACCTTGAGATGTTAGGAAAAAGCAGTACATGAGAAATTCAGTGAAATTCTAAAACTTTAATGATGCAGTCATAATTAAAACAAGTTATTCATGAGTTGTTTTTACCTGAAATAAAGTAAAGAATAAGATATGTTTATCATCGTGATTAACAGGTTTTTATGTATATTCAGTGGAAAATGTCTAAGTAAAGGCCACTTAACTAAACAGACCTGATAAGTAAACACTGTTCTTTGGTCCCGCAAATTTCTTCATTAATTATCACTATTAGAGTCTGGTTAACTAAACTCAGATAAGTAAACAATACCGCTTTAACTAAGCGTCTTCTCTTGGTCCCTGGAAGTAAATTACTTAACAAAAGGGACCGGATAACTAAATTAGCGATCACCTCATAATCCGACATGAGGGGCACATGTCAGTCTCCAGCTAAACATATGAAAACATGTTATGGTATTGTCTTAAAAAGTTTGTGGTGAAGAAAATTCTGTTGATTTAGAATCTAACAGGAAGACAGCGTGTATTACTGAACTCAATGAAATGTTATGGAATAAAACATGTCATATTACTTACAAATGTTGTCTGTTATTCTGCTGTATACATATACATGCATATGGTTGTCATTTGCAGGTTTTGATAAGTTTGGATAAGCAAAATACCTAATAAGTAAATAATTTTGGCGAGTCCCTTGAAATTTTACTTATCAGATTTCCACTGTATGTACAGTTAACAAAAATGTTCTAGTTGTTTGGTTGTGGTTGTTTACTGTGTTCAGTGCACTGGTTATCTCCCCTACAGGGCAAGCTGCCGCTGAGTGGAATGGCTGTCAACCGGTGTGAAGACCTGGAGACCTACCCTAACGGCTTCGAGATCTCTGGTAACTAGACTAAAAGCTTACTGATGGGGGGATATGTCCCCCATTGTTGCATGTCTGATTGTTCTTGAATGGGTGCAGAACTTCTCTCTTACTGAAAGGCAACCTGGCTGACTAGTGAGATGGGTTCTGGTAAGATTATGTAGTGAGATGGGTGGATTGAGGTGGGGTGAGGTAAGATGAATGGGTTGGGTGAGGCAAGATGAATAGGATAGGGGGTGTGGCAAGATGAATGGGTGGCAAGGGGTGTGGCAGGATGAATGGGTGGAGTGTGGCAAGATGAATAGGAGGGGTGTGGCAAGATGAATAGGAGGGGTGTGGCAAGATGAATGGGTGGGGTGTGGCAAGATGGATAGGAGGGGTGTGGCAAAATGGATGGGGCCTGACAAAAGACTGAGGCATGACAGTATGGATGGGGTGTGTTTAGATAGGTGGGGATTACGAGATAGAAGGTGTGATGAGATGGGTGGGGCATGCTGACATGGTTGGGCCGTGATGAGATGGGTTTGCAGAGATGAGATGGGTGGGCTGTGATGAGATGGGTGGGCCGTGATGAATCTTTGAGCCGTGATGAGATGGGTGGGCTGTGATGATGAGATGGGTGGGCTGTGATGAGATGGGTGGGCTGTGATGAGATGGGTGAGCCGTGATGAGATGGGTGAGCCGTGATGAAATGGGTGGGCTGTGATGAGATTTGTAGGGATAGAAATGCAGAGATGGACGGGCGTGATAAGAGGGGTGGGCCTTGACAAGATGGGTTGCAGTGATATGTTGAGATAGGTTTGCAGTAATGAGATGGGTGGGCAGTGATGAGAGGGTGGGGCATGTTGAGATGGGTTTGCAGTGATGAGATGGGTGGGGCATGTTGAGATGGGTGGGGCGGAAAAGTTTGGATGAGGTGACTGCTTGGTTTGGGTCAGCTTGGAAAAATCATTATTTTTCAACATGTTCATCCAGAAGTAAAGTGTTAGTCTCCCTGTTGCTCAATATAAACCGTTCCTGTTTGCATGAAAGTTCTGTACTGTGTTGCAGGTAACATGATAGAGAAGATGGTGGTGACGATGCGGCACCAAGGTGGAGGTGGGGCCGTGGCTCGACATCCTCCGTCAGCAGGTCAACCAGACGTATCATTCCTCCTCCACCAAACCACAGAGCTTACAGGTGAGCTGTACCCGCTCACAGATATTCACAGAGCTTGCAGATGGCTGACCCCACACACCCAATCCCCACCCAAACCACCAATGCATCAAATAGATATAAGAATGAAGCACCACTCACAGACACAGGCACCACTCACAGACATGAAGCACCACTCACAGACACAGGCACAGAGGTTAACCCAGACCACTAATGACACAGTCACAGACATGCAGAGCTTACTTGTGAGCCTCTTGCAAACAGTATAAACCTGCGCAAGAACATTTTCCTAGAACTCAGTCTAAAAACATGACTAAAGTCTATTGTGTGGCTCAGTGATTTGTTGATGTTGTGTCGTTGTATGTCTGCTCCAGACTTCATTATTTACAGCCCACAGTGATATAACTGGAATATGTCTGTGTACACACAGACTGTAACATAAAGCAACAACAAACAAACAGTGACCTACCCTATATCATCACACCAACCTGTGGCTATTTCAGATCTCCATCTCCACATCTCAGCCCAGCATCAGCACGGTGAAGACGCAGGCCAAGACTGCCCAGGTGATGCAGACCCACATCCACCAGTCTCCGCCCCACCACAAGCCAGTCCACAAGACCTGGAGCATGTCCTGTCTCCGCCCGTCCCCGCCACTCCGCCCCTCCCTCATGTGCAGGGACGAGGCACTCAAGAGCCCCAAGGCCAACCGCAAGTCCACAGCCAAGAGGAAACCAGGTGAGACTGTCTGAAATATATCACTTTGGGGAATAATGTGGGACCAGATTTGAAAGGGGTGAGCATTTCCTTTGGAGATAATAGGTTACGATAACTACCCCTCCATCTGATTCTGGTCTGCTTGTGGCGATCCTGGGTCAGGAAATGTTTCCTTGTGGAGATGCAGCAACTTACGCTGGTCTCCTTGTGGGGGTCTTGGGTTAGGTCCCTTGTGGGGGTCAGCAAGTTAGGTCCTCAGCAACTTAAGTTAGGTCCTCAGCAACTTACGCTGGTCTCCTTGTGGGGGTCTTGGGTTAAGTTAGGTCCTCAGCAACTTACGCTGGTCTCCTTGTGGGGGTCTTGGGTTAAGTTAGGTCCCCAGCAACTTACGCTGGTCTCCTTGTGGGGGTCTTGGGTTAAGTTAGGTCCTCAGCAACTTACGCTGGCCTCCTTGTGGAGATGCTGAGTTAAGTTAGGTCCCCAGCAACTTACGCTGGCCTCCTTGTGGAGATGCTGAGTTAAGTTAGGTCCCCAGCAACTTACGCTGGTCTCCTTGTGGGGGTCTTGGGTTAAGTTAGGTCCTCAGCAACTTACGCTGGCCTCCTTGTTGAGATGCTGAGTTAAGTTAGGTCCCCAGCAACTTACGCTGGCCTCCTTATGGGGGTCTTGGGTTAAGTTAGGTCGCCAGCAACTTACTCTGGTCTCCTTGTGGGGGTCTTGGGTTATGTTAGGTCCTCAGCAACTTCACGCTGGCCTCCTTGTTGTAAGCTCTGCTGGTTGTAAAAAGTGCCTTGATGAATGGGAAGTCAGGCTCACTGACACAGTTGATATCCAGTCACCGTGCCCCTTAGGCCTGTATCGCTGATCATAATCTTCCTCAATGGTCTCACAGTACTGTCACATAGCTGGGATATTGCTAACTGAGGCCTTGAACAACAAACCAGCCAAAGTCTTTTGACATTCATCAATATGTGTCTTAGAAATTATCCTAAAACTAATGGTTTTAACAACTGCAATTGTGAACCCCAACCCTGACTTTGTCTAATGCCGCATATACTTGTGGGTGGGAGAACATTGAGGGTGGGTAGATGTTCAGGCTGAGGAAGACGTTGGGGTGGGAATGGGCAGTTAGTGTTCTGATTTCATTATTAGTTTGGCTGATAAGCATACATTTCTGTCATACCTTAATGACAACGAACACTTCAGCCCAAGGGTAATTGTTTTTCCCTCTCAGAAATACAGGATATGTGTTTCTTGAAAATGATACTTTTTAATCCTTATTATTTTTAGTTGACATAGGATGATATATGTTACAAAAATCACTTCAGTGCTAGCTTTACCAAAAACGTGAATGATCACTTTTGATCAAGCATTATTCAATCAGGATGAATACATTTGCATATGATTAATAATTTTTAGATTGTTATGAGAATGCTATGAAAGGCTCTTGGTATATACTGATGTTTTAAGATTTAACCAACTTTAACTCTAATTCCCTGTTGATATTTGTCAAATAATTTCATGATATGACTTTTTTTTGCTAAGTGCGGACCGGTTCTGGTGACGATTACGATGACGCTTGGCATAGATGTTAGTCAATAGCTGGTTTATGTTGTGTCTAGATCGTTAAGTCGTTCATTTCTGTTGTCAATTTCAGAATTATATTTGTACTTTTCAACTGCCATATTTCATGTTTCACTTGATGAATACTTTTTTTTCTATAAATGGAACTTTGGCCTAGTCGATGTATTCAATTCGTTGTTTACAAATTTGTTGTTTACAAATCTGTTGTTTACAAGTTCATTACGTGTTTTCACAATAATGTACTGTAACTGTGATTGTTTATTCCGTATTACACAACTCATCTGCAAGTTTCCACCCCAAATTGTTGTCTTTATGCTATTTTGGCCAATGCACTTTTTTCCTATTTTTTTTTCACTAATATCTCAAGCACATTTTCCTCTGAATGTTTTTTCCTTGTAATCATTTTTCATTTTTTAAGGCCTTACATGTGCTTTCAGAATTTTCAGAGCCTAAAGATTTTTTACATTTTTTTTTATGTACACCAATTTTCTTGTGACTTTGTGACGATTACCTGATCACTACAACACATGCTGTCAAGATTCATTAAGTCTTATGTGACAGAAGAGTTCAATGTTGAATAGCATCAAATCATAATTGGCTATATTTGCTCAGGTTTAGAAAGGCCAGAGTTTAATCTGCTTTGAAAGGGGCATTAAAGTGTGATCATAGCTTTGTGGTTCAGTCTGTGTTCGCAGACAGACCTTGGAAACAAACCCGTGAAGATCTGGGTTAATTTGGTCTTCAGTAACCATGCTTGTCGTAAGAGGCGACTAACGGGATCCGGTGGTCAGGCTCGCTGACTTGGTGGACACATGTCATCGGTTCCCCATTGTGCAGATGCTTGTACTGGATCACTGGATTGTCTGGTCCAGACTTGATTGTTAACAGACCGCCACCATAAAGCTGGAATATTGCTGAGTGTGGCATTAAACAACAAATAAACAAACAAACCGTATCAGCTGATTGACATAAAGATCATAGGACCGTACAAATTAAACCTATAATCATATCATAGCCAGCTTTGTCTTCAGTTAATGTTAAGCGACAGAGAAGCTGTCACAGATAAGATTTCAGTTATTTCATTTTGCCCGAATAGCTCGGCAATTTGAAAAATTGTTATATGTTTGCATGTTTCCCCTTTGAAGTTGAATTTCTAAATATTAATATTGCATGTAGTTTATACATTTATAGCATGTTATCATTTCATTTGAAAACGGCTTTCTTTTCATAAATTGTTTTCTGGTGTTTAAAAATGTATGGTTTGTATTGGGCATTTACATCCTCGTGAAATAGAGGCATCAGTGTCCCAGTCATCCTTGTGCAACAGTCTGATGTGCCTGGATATTCCATGATTGAAGACCCATGAAGATCCGGTTAAAATTGATCTTCAGTAACCCATGCTTGTCGTAAGAGGCGACTAACGGGATGAGGTGCTCAGGCTCGCTGACTTGGGTGACATATCGTATCCCAGCTGTGTAGATCGATGCTCATGATGTTGATCATGGATTGTCTGGTCCAGACTTGATTATTTACAGTCCGCTGCCATATAGCTGGAATATTGCTGAGTGCAGTGTTAAACAACTACCAACCAACCAATCAATCCATGATTGAAACCAGTTTGAACCGTTGTTTGCCTCAATTCGTTACACTGCTATATTGAGTCTAACAAAACCTAGTAGAAGGTCGCGTCAGCTAACCTTTTGATTGACCAATCAGAACACAGCTTACCAAATCACGAAAGTTAACATTCACACATATTGTTTGAACCTTTACCTAAAAAACTCGAACGATTCCGAATGCTATTTTCCGCACGATCGCTTCCGAGTGATACACGCAATGAGTAAACAGTCGCTGAAAATAGCGTTTTGTCAATATTCAAGGATGTCATCTTGCGAAAATGTAAGCAGATAGTAACCATGCCATTAGAAACCCATAAGCGTATATACTGCAGGTCAAATATCTGTTTTATGTGGATTTCCGTTTGTTGATAGAGAAAATCCAAAAACCGTTTAGTAAGTGCCGCAGAACCCTAACAAGTAGTCGTTGTCTGATTGGTTAAATCCGTTTGGACGTCTCGTGTTTGATTGGACGTCTCGCGTTTGATTGGATGGTCATAGGTCGCTCAAAGGTGACCTTCTACCAGGTTTTGTTAGACTCAGTATAGCAGTGTAACGAATAATACTAAGTTTACTTAGACTGCTCAATTATGCCTCATGGGTTTCGGGTGTGGGGTAGTCTAGTGGTTAAAGCGTTATTACGCCGAAGACCCGGGTTCGAATCCCCACATGGGTACAATGAGTGAAGCCCATTTCTGGTGTCCCCCGCCGTGATATTGCTGGAATATTGCTAAAAGCGGCTTAAAACCAAACTCAGTCAGTCAGTCATGGGTTTCGGCGAAGTGGTCAACGTCGAGCATCCCTTTTGACTCTCATCCAACATTATGCTGACGTGCCAAAATGTGATTGGAAAATGTTAAAAGTGGCGCTACTCCCAACTCCATTGCTCACTGAGTCTTGATTCAATGCACACAGTCACGCTTTTCAATTTCAAAGCAAAATAAATCCTTTGCATGTTGTAAAATAGCAAGGGAGATCCAGGTTAGAACAGAACCTCTGCAAACTATACTGGTTGTACGACATGAGGGAATAGAACAGGTTTAGGTTCAATTTCTTGGTTAAAAACGTGTCATCGCTCCCCAACAATAAGGATTGTTGCTCCCAATATCAATCCCCAGTATGGCTGGCCCAGACACGATTAGTTACAGACCACGCTGAAGCTGAAATACTGCTGATTGTGGTGTTTAACAGCTCTCACAAATTCACTGTTAGATTGATGTTATCCATTTCGTCTAAAATACATCTTTAAAGCTTTCTTTACCAATATGATCTTCAGATGACCAGAAGGTGTATAACGAAGACGCTTTCATCCTCCAAGTGATTGAAGCATACTGCAACAGTGCCAAAACCAGACACACCGTCAACTCCTGTGAGTATTTCTACACTGGCAGGGTTAGGATGAAAGTGTTACGAACATAGATCTCATGTTGATGTTTCTATATCACTTCTGTTTGGATTAAACCAGGAGAAATGCCATGATAGCAACTGTCCAATGGACATTTCCTTGTCGTTTCTTGTCAGCCAGCTGTGCAATAAATTTTCATAAACATATGCAGATTTGTGTCCCACTACAGACAATTTCATTGTTTTTGACACAGGAATCAGGTTGTTTTTTGTGCCTAATGTGTAAAAATGTGCAGTGTGAAAATTGGTTCATGTGGAAATATTTTTTTTCAAATGTGAAATATATGGATTATTTTTAATTATCCAGACATGCTCGCACTAGCATAACGAGTTTCAATCAGATTCTATGCAATATGCAATACACCACTATACAAGTTGTGCAAAACATTTCTTGACAAACAAATTGAACGAACTGCATTTATGAGCTCATTATATGATATTATCACAAGATCTGTTCTTGCATCTTATAAAACACCTCCACATAGCTTGATGTCGCGAACTGGAGTTATGTCCCTTTATGCATTATCTCCCTTTGGTGGGTGGTTTAATTCAGATCTGCAATCCAATATGGGTTTGTAGCATTTAGCTTTGGCAATTTCACCATCAATTCAGATTTTAGAACCAGATACAGTTTAAAAACTTATGAATAAACCTTAATGAATATGCATTACTTGTTTGTTCAGAGAACGTTTTTCTGTTTGGTGAAAGTAACCCGTTGTTATTCGAATCTCAGGTAGACAAATCATGTCAGAGGCACGAAAACAAAATAAAGGTATGAAAATACCCAGGTTTTAATATTGTACTCAGCATTTGTGTCAACAGTTTTATATAGGTAGAATTTTACGTCACGTTTGCAGATGCATGTTGCCCGAATTTTGAGTTTCTAACCTCTAACACATATATATACTCATTAGATTTGGGTAGTAAACCGTATAGGCGAAATTCTTGTACAGTCTGCTTTTATCATTTATTTTTGTAAGGTGAATATTTTTTAATTTTTAAAAATCCATTTTTGGAGAAATTAACAATTCAATGATAATGGTTAATGTGTTACCATGACAACAAATTCCATTTTCTGAAATGTAGAAATTCAATGTTTATTGTTAATATGTTGCAACAAATAAAGAACCTTAAAAATGTAATGGCTGCTCTGACCAAATGATGCTGTCAAATATGTGATCATAATTTAATTCTTAATTTATGAATCATAAACATCCTAATTAGATTAAATATCTAGGACGTTGATAACTTCTGATTGTCTGATTTTGAGGGAAATGAGTGAATTGTTTTTGTCTCGACTGTTTCGAGATGCGGAGATGGTGTCTACGAGGTGTAATGATTGTCAGATATTACCTCCCCTTGCCTTACTGTTTTGTATTTTTACAATTCTTAGCTGATGAATACTCAACTATTACAATTTTATACATGTTCAGAAGGCTCTGTTTGGCTGAACGAGCATGTCCGCTTCTAATATGCAGAGATTTAGTACACCTGTACTTAAACAATACTCGGCCATTATATTTTCCAAAATTAGCTTAAAAATAGAAGTATTCCTGTGACTGAGTATATAAATCTATAGGGATATTGCAAAAATGGCTATGTCAATTTGTACATGTCAGCTACCGACAAAATATTTCTGATCATTTTTTAATGATCAAATTTTGGCTAGTCAGATATATTTGGTACTAAAGATATTAACCCATTCTTTTTCTGTGTATCTTCAGATCTCTGCATTTAGAATGTTCATCCTGAAAGGATGTATTGCATGTTGCCATTTTAGGCTATGTAAGAAAGATGCCTGTTTATTAAATTAAATTTCTTCTTGTCTGATTTGATTTTGAGGTTTAAAGTGTAAATGTAAAACAAAAACGTGCTTCTGCAAAGCTGAATTATATTCTGCATTAAGGAATTTGAAAGCTTTGAAATTTGATAAGTTCATATTAAATCCATACTCCTTTGTGCCAGCACATAATGATATATTTCCGTCATAGTGACGTCCATTGCAAATGACCCTGATATAACGTGCAGTCTGTGCAATATGCTTTTAATGTTGAATGTTCACATCAGTAAGAATATACTTGTCTTTTATACTGTGTACCCTCAGGTATCTATAGCGATAATGTCACTTGTTTGTAGATCACTTTTTTCTTCCTATGTGCAGCGCAAAATGCATTTTAAAAGCCGCAACTTTAGCTGAACTTGAAGCTTTGTATTGACTTTGATGTTTGCATTATGAAAATACGATCAGTGCCCCTATCCACTAAGCAATCGTAGCACTAAGACAGTCGTAAGTCTGTGTTGAAGTATAGGAGTTACGATGACCTTAGTGATACGATTGTGTTGTGAAAACAAGATCAGTACCCAGATCCACAAAGCAATCGTAGCACTAAGACAGTCGTAAGTCTGTGTTGAAGTATAGGAGTTACGATGACCTTAGTGTTACGATCGTGTTGTGAAACGGGGCCCAGTGCTTCAGCTGAGAGGAACTATTTCATTTGCCTTAGTTTGTGCGTTTACACAAATGCTGCAATTTTATTTATAAGCATGAGGCTTAAGTGTCTGTTTTCCGAATTGTTAGAATCTACAGAGTTAGGGGCCGCAGGTGGCATGATGTGCTGTGCAGTTATGTCCCTTGGGTGTACCAAGATCCTGAGATATTGGGTTTGAATCCCAGATTCTCCCTGATTATGATCATTGGTTTATTGGCACCGTGCCTGTGACTGTAGGTATTCACAAGATGTAAGAATGTAAGACTCCATGACTTTGAGCTTTCCTATGTTGAATCTCATAACTGAAATACTGTTTATCAAAGCGTATAACATGGTACTGTCAGCCTGATTATTAGAGGCTAACTGCAACGACTAGTTGTCATGTCAACCACTAGTACAAATTCTACTGTTAACCAGATAGATTTCCTCACCCTGTCAACCAATTGTGTCTTGGGTTAATATTAGAAAAAATAATTTGGTAAAAGTGTCTCAAAAAGTTTATGGAGAACTCAATATCTTTTAATAACAGGGTATTTAAAAATATTCAAGTTTTCATAAGTTCTAGGTAGTCGGCTTTTAAAAAGTATTTTGTGGAGATGTTTTAAATGAAACTTGGTATGGATATTTGCAAACAAGTCAAATCTCATTGTTTTCTGTGTAACCTGTTTTGATTTGGGCTCCCACTTTCCTTAAACTTCCACACCTTCATCTCTTTATGACCTTTGTTTATATCCAGTATTTGTTTATTCCCTGAGGTTTCAGTTATTTCACCTTTTTGAATGTTTAGTAGTTTCACTCTACCTGTACCTGTATACTTAGGTACAAAATTAGTTTCTTTTGAAACAAACTTATCTTTGATCTCAAATTTGAGGATCAATCAGGTCGAAATTGTTGCATTTGTTAACTCTGAAAGAAATAAAAAGTCATCAAAAGTATAAATACTCAAAACGTAACTTCATTGCTGTGTTATAAGCTACACATTTTGTGTGGTCACGGCCAATGTAGGGAGGTCATGTTTTTTGTAATATTGTAACAAAACTCAAAGCTCAAAACTGTTGGGTTTATTTTTAGTTCATAATCAGTGTAAACAAATTTATTTTTTTTTGTTTTTATTTAATTTTGCACATTCTTGCCCCAGTTTTAAAAGTTGCTCAATTATGTAGAACAAGTGTTTTGTGTATAACCTTGGTGCGAAAAATTGATATTCAGTTTAGGGAAAGTGGGTGTGGTAAAAGCAGGGTATCTCATGCTGCATTCTGTATAATATTTTGAAATAAATATTGTAAATTTTGATTGCTGTGTCCTTGTCTGTACTGCTGTTGTAAGCACTCCCTATGGCACCGTGTGTTGGTCTGTAGCAAGGAATAAATATTGGATCATTTACTCGAATATCTCAGCTGCGTGGAAAACGTAATGATCATTAATCTCCATTGCTGCGTTAATTTGCTTTGAAATACGGAGATATTAGTCGCTCACACTCACCAGGAACATTCTTAGTGCAGGGTTTTACTTTGGTGTATTTTCTATGACCCTGAGCAGTTGTCATCCAAAAAATCCAAAGAGGATTTTGATGTTTGGTAATGATGTCACAAAATGTCCAACGGAAATAATGAAAATGTCCCCATGCCATTGTCTCCAATAAAATCACAGCTTCAAGGTGTAATAAAAGCAAGTTGTTATCTTGATTAAAAATTGACTTAAGAACTTTTTGAGTGAATGATAACAAAAATCAATTATATCTTTTCCCCAAGACATATACATTCATTTTCTGATGGTCTTAATGTTGCTCAGTCTTCTTTATTCTGAAATATGGTACACCCATTATGACAGACTTCTACCTGCAGAAGTGGTTTACCTGGGCACTCTCGGTTTACTGGGTTTACATAAAGACATGGATTGTATTTCTATCCAATCAGTTTCCCAGTATCCCCTTTTGGCCAACATATCATCAGTTATGGTATTGAGCCTACACATTTTACTGTATCAGTTATTGCACTTTGGGTTATGAAGTAATTGCATTATTTTTCCAGTTGAGTATATTTTTCTACTGCATAGAATTTCAGTACTGTATGAAATGAAAACATTTTTATCCAACAATATGCATTAGAATAATATCTAAGTACCCTTTTTATGCATGAAGTCTGTTTTGAGTGATTTTACTGCAAGGCAAAGCATTTTTAAGGATTGGATTACGGATTCTGTTGCCCTAAAATATAGGAAATAATTTGAAACTTACATGTTTATGACATACAATCCGTTAAAGTTACAAACAGGTGGTTAAAATAAGTTTAACAACTTGATAACTTTAACTATCACTTTTCACTATTGCTTTTTGAAGAAGAAAATATCTCTGAAATTTAGCTTACATTTTGTTCCAATCTACTGGCAAGCATATATCCCCCCAAAATCCGTAAACCAACAAATTTGAAAACTGTGGCCTAAGAAACATACTATCTGCACACTTGGCACTTTCTCTAGATATACTGGTCAGTTTGGACTTTATATAATTAAATCAAATAATGTATTCCAAATGTTTAGTTCACCTGACTGACAGTCAAGTGAGGTCATGCCATTGCCTCTTTGTCCAGTATGTGATGTGTTGTCGGCCAAAGCAAGCATAGCAACCATATTGAAAAAATATAGTTATTTTGGCCATTACTTGCCCCTTTTCCAGGATTTAGTATTGTTTTGTTTTTTTGTTGCAATTTTAGAATTTGATGCTCACATGACAATGCTCTCGATCCTCTCCAAATACATATTAGGCTTTGTAATGTTTTCTGAAATTGCCAGACTAAAAGAGTTGCTCTTCAGGACGTATGTTCCTCATAAGTTTATTAAATTTCTCTTGCTTATTTTGTTAGTGGAATATCAATATTGACAGCGACTCTTGTTATGGCCATCAGGGCTGTGGGGAAGTCTCATGGTTAAAGCGTCTGCCTGTCAAGACCCATGTTCGACTCCTCACATGGGTACAATGTGTGAAGCCCATTTCTGGTATCCCCCGCCATGATATTTCTGGAATATTGCTAAAAGCGGCGTAAAACCAAACTTACTCACTGTTATGGCCATCTTTGTTGACATAATCTGTTGAAGACACATTCAAGTGAGCTACAGTACCTTGGCAATTATTTAATGTTTCACATCGCTGTTGTCAAATGCACAAGTCATTGACTAGTATGTCTAGATTATATGTTGGTGACAGGTGTGATATATTTGTTGTAGTGCACAGAGTAATGTGAGACCCAATGTTGGCGTGTGACCCTTGTTATACCTTCCTCTGCCA